TTTTTTTCTACAGCGGCAGTTTCCTCCTGTATCTTCCTTCGTGTTTTAAGGTTCGTTGGTTTTATAAAGACTGAAAGGCGTCTAGAACAGGGCGGCGTTCGGTGGTACTTTGAGAAGTTTCAGGTGTCTAGGACGTATTGAAATACCAGTGTGCTCTCCAATTACAGATCACGGCACTGTTCAACTGCATCACTGCACAGCATTTGTCCTATAATGTATACACCCTTTCTGCTTTAGTCGTCTACCACGTTATACATATAAGATATGAAGATACAAAGTATATACACCCCGACTCCCAAAATCATATCTGCAACTGGGCATGTACCCCACCCACACACACAGCGCAGAGCTACCTTTTAACTGAGGTTTTGAAGAATACTCCGATTAATGGCGGCCTTACGTATGAGAATCCCACGATAGTGAAATAGCGGTCCTACATGAATGATTTAGCCCTGAGCAGTACAACAGCTGCTGTTCTTGAAGTTGCGGGCATTATCCCGGGTTCTTAGCAGCTATAGTGAACGAAACTCGCGGTGTTCGGCATCTACACTACTAGCATTGTTTAATGTGTTATTCTCTCTTTCTTCTCTTTTTTGGGTGCGGGGGGAGGAGGATGAACTAGGTTGGATTGAAACTCTTCCGTAGCACAACTTAGGTGGTCCAAACATTTACTATCAGTACGTACTAGTTAACATTGCCTAATTGTCCACATGCAGCGTATGTGGCCTAGTAATAGTTTGATTCTGTGGAACTTTAAAGGTGTATATTAGTATGATACTGAATGCCGACTAGATTTTCCCTAAGGGTTCGCCAGTTTTAAGGCTAGCGTAAGGAGCTCTCTCCGCGGTTAATGTCAATACAATTATAGTCCAGCTCTAGTTCTGCCTGTACATGCAACCACTTACCCCGGAATGCTCCTATGTTTGCTTGGTAACTAATTCGTCCGCCTCCCCATTTTCACTCTTTCAGTAGTGTTGAGCCATCCGATATATACCGGCTTGAGGAATTTGCTATTATGGACTCCGTCACAAGGTCTATTGCTACGCATTGCTCCTATTCAGGTTCGTCTGGGGTTGTGTTGTCCAATTGTCCTTAATATCATCACCATCATCATCGTCGTCATATTTGACATCTTTTGCATCTCATGGCGGTCAAGTCCCCCCTTTTCACTATATTCTACCCATCCCCAAATGAACTTTCTCCCTCGACTTTGTAGTTTATACCTTATATCTCCCTGAAGATCGTGCGGTACTACTACTTAGTGCCCATGCTTGTCACTCTTCATAGTGTTCTCTTTTACTATTCCTTTCTCTCTCCTTCTTTCTTTTTGCCCCTGTGTATCTGACTCCCGCTAGAATGTGAAACCTACTATCACTTCCTGATTGACACCAGGCTGTTTGTATTAATGCAATATCAACCGTCATAATACCCTCAGTACCCATCATTTCAAGTGTTAATTTAGTCTTTCTAGGGCCGAGGCCAACAATTATTACGCCGCCGGATCAACCTATATTCACATTTATTGACTATGACGATGATTTGAGCTCCAAACGAATCAAAGATACTAATGCTCGCAGGACTATTCGCTCTCACGTTATGCGCGACGTGCGTAGGCGTGAGCGACTTGCTGGACTGAAGCGTGTTTCTAGGCGCGAAAGACTCGCAGGTAAAGCCGTTGTCAGGCCAAATTTCGAAGATCCGCCGTCAGAGCGTGCCTTACCCACGAGGCTTGCTAATCCATCCTCGGAGCCAAAATTACTCATGGGAAGAGGGCCTCCTTGTGACCTTGCCAAAAATAAGGGGAAACAACAGCAGCAGCCAGATAGGCGCTGTGCTTCTCATCCAATATCAACAAGCTCTATTACAATTCCGCTTTCTTTTCCTACCTCATGGCTTGTCGACCCATTCAGTACATTGCCAGGTGCCAGTGATGTGCCTATTATTATTACTCGACTAGTCTTTCATTGTGAGTCGACTGCTTTGTCTCTACCTGCTATCTTGTTTCCTGGTGTAGGGGTCCGCTAGCGATTTTCTGGGTTTCACATAATACGTGTCGATTAATAAAGTGCACTGTCTGTACTGAACTACCTCTGACCCACTAAATTGACTAGGGGGTACTGTCTTTGTGCCTATGACTTTCCCGAAGGAACATACTTTCAATGAGAGGGCCAAAACCGATATGGCAGTCCAATCTTCATTTACAGATCAGGGCAGTTTCTTTGGCTTAATGAGTATGTGCGCTGCGCACCGAGCTGTTTTGGCTGGACAACATTCACAGTTCCTAGCTGCTTCGGAAGCCCCCCATCGTCTTTTACACGATACAGATTATTATATTATGAAAGCCAGGTGTATCCGTGAGATGAATATCAAACTGTGCAATCCCATTCTATCGTTAAGCAACGAAGCATTTGGCACAATCATTAATCTTCTTACGGGTGCAGTATGTATTCCTAGTCCCTTTGCTCCGGTCGTGCAGAAAGTTTCCATGTTATTGGCAGTGGGTCGCCCACTGAGATCGAAGATATACAATTCTTGCCAATAACTTCTTCTAACTCTTACCAGCTGATAGTCGGATTGTTTGATGAAGCTCGTGTGCACCTCAGAGGCTTGAAGCGCATGGTGGACTTGCGAGGAGGAATTGCAGACAACAGCATTTATCAGTCTTCAATGCTAGCTGCTATTCTTACGTATGTGCTTCGCCATGCACCTGTTACCGAATTATGTTGACTGGTAACAATAGTACTGATGTGAAGGCTGCGTCGGGACTTATGACCCAACCGGTTTTCCCTTTGGCTCGTGGCTTGCAGACAGTTTCAGCCAATATTCAAGAACGTATAGCGCCCTCGGATACGTCAAAACTGCAGAGATTGGGTGTTGCATTCGTTTCTAACCCTCACCTCAGCTTTTGTTTGCTAAGTATTCTCCGTGCTATGCGTGATATTATACTTTACGGCCAGGCTTGCAACCAAAACCCCGCTGTACTCTGCGCCGATGACCACGAATTCTTTCGCAGTCTCAATCGTGAAGTTGAGCATCGGCTCCTTACTTATGTCTGTTCTGGATCTACAACACGATGTATGTCATTTTCTGAGACGACATCAAATATTGGTTCTGTAGAAGCGGTCACGAGGATTGCTTCTATCTGTTACTTAAACCATTTCCTTATTGTATCGCCCCCGTCTTCTGGGCTGGGTCGTGCGCTTACAAGGCATTTGAAGCAAGCTATAACTGATTGTCCCTGGTCACTGTTATCGAAGAGCTATGGTTTGTTCGCATGGGTATTATTCATTGGCGCTCAAAGCTCGGCAGGTCAGGTTGAACGCCCATGGTTCGTTGAGCGTCTATCCCGCGTCGCCCTAGTTTGTGGGTGGCATACCTGGATGCAGATGTCCGACGTGTTGATCGATTACTTTTATCTTCCTAGTACCAACCAAGAGAGCTGGACATCCATCTGGATCGAGGTCATGGCTTGAGCTATTTTGTGTTCTAGAAACACAGAACCAGGGATTCCCAATTGACATGTTCTTGGTCTATTCTAGCCGAATAATTAGTGCCATAGTATATACAGCACTCTACCGATGGCGCCGAAGCCACTCCAGACATGCTTGACGAACAACAGCAGCATCTAAATCCTGCCAACTCCATTACATTTGTGCAGCACTGGAGGTACATGCCATCACAACTGCTACAGCTTGCATGCCAGTAATAGAAAAGCTGTTGGTAATTAAGAGTTAAATTCAAGACTAAAATTAGCTAATCAAATTGTTGATCACCACAAACTTCAGGAGTACAAAGTAGTTGGTTATAGAGAGTTGGATGACAAACCGATGACGTTGCTGTCATCGTAAATTATTGTATTAATAGCCGCCAGGTGATACGTTGTGTTCGAATTATGTTCTGTATACGGTGTACAGACTCGACATATATTGATTTTATATGTAAAATTTTCTATGATGACAAGAATGAATAAAGGGCAGGACTTGGACTTTAGCGAAGTGGACTCAATCGCTATACAAGAAGTAATGGAGATTATCTTTACCCCGACAGAGTTCACGGACGGTGACGGACCAACCCCAGTTCTCCGATTTTTTTTTCGGGGTTTAGTAATAAAAGAAATCTCCGTAAGATTCTCTTCCACCTTTGTTGCGATGGTCGCTTTCCCTCTTTAGCTTCCCAACTAGTCGTCGCCTATAACTTTGTATCTCTGTATCTTCCTTTCTGGAATATTCTCCTTCATTTTCCCATATTTATCCTAGCTTTTCTTTCAAAATGGGTTGGTTCTGGGCAGACTCCCCGTCGCAGCCAACACCTGTGGTTCCGAACCCATTGGCATCCTCGGACACCACCCCCCTGTTAGTCACCATATTTTCATGTATACTTGTTCAGGCCACTAATACTGCCTCATAGCCAGCATGTCCAATGCACACGGGTAACTCGTCGCCTCCGGTGTCATCCTCAGTTCCTGAACCACCTAGTGCCTGTCCCGTCCGGTCTAAAGACTCTCCCTTCTATGTGCCACCGAAGTCAAAATCTTCAGATACGCCATTGCCTTCTAAACCAGAAAACAAGTCAACCTTATCCAAAATGAACCCTTTGAACTATATGTTCTCTTCCATCTCTCAGGAACGAGCACCGAACCAAACCGTCGACCTGCCGCTGGAGCGTGAGCCTTCCTCTATACCCCGTGGAGATACAGATAGCAATTGGGAGTATCCTTCTCCTCAGCAAATGTACAATGCTATGTTGCGCAAAGGTTACACGGATACCCCTCAAGATGCAGTGGAAGCAATGGTTGCAGTGCACAATTTTTTGAATGAAGGCGCTTGGGATGAAATTGTCGGATGGGAACGTATATTCTCGAAAGGTCTAAAAAATGGCTGGGAAAAGTGCCGACGTGGCGAGGAAAACATCGCATTAGATGCCGCCAGAGAAGTGACAGATGCGGGTACCCCGGAGAATCAGCCACGCCTTCTCAGGTTCCAAGGTCGGCCGCAGGAGCTTACTCCAAAGGCGCAGGTACTGCAAACACTAGGTTGGCTGTATCCAGCAAAGTTTGGGTTAGTACCCCAGTTGCCCTCCCCTTGTGCTTGGCATGTTGTCGTACTGTGTTGCTGATATATTCTAGAACACCTCCACCGTTCGATCGACACGACTGGTTTGTGATGCGACAGACGCCGTCTGGTCCGAAAGAAGTTCGTTATGTGATTGATTACTATTCAGGGCCTCCCGAGCCTACAGGAGAGCCTGTCTTCTATCTGGATATCAGGCCTGCCTTGGACACACCTACCGCTGCTGTAGAACGATTGATGAGATGGGGAGGCGATGTTTGGTGGCGAGCTACTGGTGCTGTAGTTCGAGAAAACGGCAGGAACTAATGGCGCAATTCCACTGCTGATGATATTGTTCTTCGGCGATGATGACTCTCCACTCACCTGTATACTGAACAAGGCGCGGGCGTCTGATGGCCCTCCATAGGGACGCATCATTCTATATGTTTCTTTTCTTACCTTCCCTACTTCTCTATACACCCTACTTAATTATTTCACCTTCCCTGTCTAAACATGAAATAGATTTCTTTCGGCTATACGGACTGCCAGGCAGATAATGATGGCGATGAAACAATGGCGTCTATAGTTGTTATTCGGGACGAAATACATGCCACCCATGCTCCTTTGCGTCTTTGCAGCATTTTCCCTCGAAGAGGCTATCTATTGATACAGTAATTTGTCTAGGGAAGTCTATATGGTTCTTGTAGGCGTAGTTTTTCCGATACAAGGGCATCGCCCACCAAAACTAAAATGACAGGAAGACTAGTACTGAAGATTTTTCGCTGCTAATGCGGCCATCCATCTACTTAGAGGCGATAGTCTAGATTCACCAGGGACCATCTATTTTGCTTCAGACGACGCAATTCTCATGAGGAGTGTGGGGGGTTGAAGACAGTCTGCGTATGAACAGATACAGCACTTCCTACGCTACGCCATGCTAAGGGATTTCTACCCTCCAAATCAATCACAGCATTGATGCCTTTTTCGGACGTTCTGCAACGTGCTCGCAGCTTATGGATCGTTGGAGACAGGCTGTAGGTTAAATCATCGAGTATCCTTGTATACATGATCTACTACTAATCCAACTTTGACTGTCGTCATAGTGTATACAGGAGCAGGGGCGAAATTTCACTAATATAATAAGCCTCTTTGTGGAGTTCCCAGCTCTATTCTATGAACGTTCCGAGTGGAGCGAAAAAGTATGCTATCCCAGATTCCTCGGTCTCCTTTCTCTTAGATATTAGGGGATAGCATATCAGACTTGACGCACAGTTCGACGGTCTCAATGCTGGCTTGAAGTAAGCCTCGCGCTTCAAGTCCAACCCAAACGCGGAGCATGGAAGTGTCGCCCGATCGAACAGATTTCAAGAATGTAGTATTAGATCCAAGTTTCCGCAAAATAGGGAGGGCACTAAAGCAAGGAGGAATTAATTGTCGTTTATACTTAGATGTACGGGGTACCAAACACTCTTAATGTTCTCGAGAAGTCAGTTATCTACTCACCTTTTGAAGAGGTCGAGATTTGGATCAAGACTCCGTCCGATACCTTCTAGAAGAAGGATCGATATAACAACGTTGACAAAGTCTCCTTCAAGCCGGACGTGGTAGCCTCGAACCATGGATAACACCTCGCTTAGCACGTCTCCAATACTAATATTGCCAAGCGCAAAGGTTCGTGACTTGACGCTAAGGACTAGATGCTGCATTTTCAGCGCAAAGACCTCGGGGTCAGTGACCTCCCCTGGCTGACGGCATCGTTCGACCATGAGCTGACCCGCTCGATACCCATCAAATTCTGCGACCGCGCGGAAGAGGTCAAGGAAGTTTCGCCGATTAGTATCGTTGAGCTGGGTTACTAAACCAGTATCAATGAAGATAAGTTGTGGACGATAGCCTTCCGCATTAAGCTGTTCAAGAACCCTCTCCCAGTCTTCTGGACTATGGGCATGAGGTCGTAGTCGTGCAAGTACCGCCTCTGTTACATCAACGTCCGCCGCGGTTGGTGCATCGGACGCCCTAGTATGTTTGCGGAGTGAAAGATCCAACTCACTCGGTTGGTAAAACCGAACCATGATATTACCAGGGTGCAAATCCGCGTGAACAAAATTGTCAATTAATAACATGTGGAGGAATGCGTCTAGGCCTTCATGAGCAATTTCTTGCTGAAAGATACCCCCTCCGACGTCAAGGAAGGTTGATAGAGGAATTCCCTGCGCAAATTCCTCCACCAGCACCTCGCGGGTTGTGTAACCCAGGTAGGGGTATGGAAACCAAGCGGTGGTGCGCAATTTGAACTTTTCACGAAACATGACCAGGTTACTCGCCTCGATGCGCAGGTCCAATTGCAGCTTCATCATCTCTCCAAATTGATGAACCTCGTCTGGTAAAGATAACCAGTGCATAGTGGGGATCGCATTGATTAGTGAAGCAAAGAAAGACATTATCTTCAAGTCTCTTCGAATCACACGCTCGACTTTAGGGTGAAGCACCTTGACGGCTACATATGAAGAAGGAACTCGCTGGGGCGTACTCTTCATCAATACATCGACATTCTTTCGGACTTTATCTCGTAAACCCCGTATTTCTAAGGCTTCCTGGTCCTGGGATGCCGCAAGGTTTGGTTTCAATCTTGCTTTGTAAACTTGTGCAATGGCTCCCACCCCTAAAGGCTCCTCATAGAACTCCTCGAAAATATCTTCAAATGGTAGCCCGTTGAAGGCCTTGCAAATAGTTTTCTTAGTTTCTTGTAACGAGTGCGATGGGGCATTTGAATGGAGAGACGACATGATGTTACACAATTCAGGAGGGAAGATATCTGTGCGTGAAGCCGCCCATTGTCCGAGCTGTTAGAAGAAAACCAGAACAGATATCAGTATGCACGCTGCAGATTATCTGGACTTCTAGTAGCTGAACAGGGATGGTGTCCTACCTTAATGAAGGCCGGTCCCGCACGCTCCATTGACCTCACGAGGAAGTTATACCACCATAGTGTCCCGCTCCGTACATCTTTGCGCGTCTTGAGGCGCTTGCCGAACCATACAACTGGGACTGTAAGGATGACAGGCAAGAAAACAACCACAAGATGTGCAAATCTGAGGCCCGTAGCAACCGGATCATATATGTAGTAGTACCAGAAGACGAAAATGGACTGTTGAAGCCTCGATAAGCCCCGTGCATCCTGGGTGACGCTCTTTTGGATCTCTTGGCGTGAAGCTTCTAGCATCTGCATTTCACCCGTCCTTTCATTTCCTTCGCCTTCCTCCGCCAACTTCAAAAATGCACCGGGGGTTAATGAAGAGAGTAACAACGTCCGTGGCATATGCTTCCGGCTTTGGGATCCCCGCCCAAGCCTTTGACGACATGACGGCGGCCGACTGAAACGCCATCGAACTGGCAAAGTAAAGCGGGACAGTAGCTGCGGTATTCCACCACGGCTCGAACAGAAACGGCCAAAGAGGACGGCCGTCCTCATGTTCTCATGCGAAGTTCAGATTATCAATTGTAGGCGGTTTCATTTGATAGCCAGGGAGATGGCGACCGCAAAGGTTGGACTTGGCCAACCGCGAGGACACCATCGGACATCCGGAGCCGTTTCACGTGTCGGCGACGTCATACATAACCTGCGAATCAAATATCTGTACGGAGTAGTAGATGAATTAAATTCATTTTCGATTCCCCACTCCAACTTATTTCCAACATCGGGACAGAGATGAAAACTAAACACAACCAATCTTGAAAACTTCCCCTTGCGGGAATGCATGCAGCATTGTGCCTTTTCCCCTCCGCATTCCGGACAAAAATATGACCAGCCACCCATAGTTATCTAATTCCGGATTCATATTAGAGTTGTTGTCACCACTTCCTATGATTCCCTACATCCCTACAATGTCCGAAAACGGGAGCGTGATGGTGACCTTTAAAAGGTTTCTTATAAATTCACTAGTGACAGTAGATACCGGAAGTATGGGGGCCTGTCAGTTGCTCGCTCTGGGATAGATGTGAGTACGCAACCCTGTCATGGGTCGCCTTGACTCTATCTGCGATGCAAAACTGCATGGCAGGAACGATCATTCACGCCATTTTTGTTTACCTGCATTGACCTGGTGCGCTGTTAGTTGTATGTGCATGATTATGATTTTTACCAGCGTATACTTCTCAAAGTATTCGCTTTTCGAGTTGGGTCTGCTGCCTCTTTTTATTCAAAGAGTGAGCCCGGCACCATTCCACGCTTACTCCAGAAATCTTGGACTGTTCGAGAAACCAAAAGATATCAGAATCGTTGCGCTAGTACCATTTCGTAACCATGAGCGAACGGGTATCCTGGATTGCTACCTTCAAGTGAGTTCCGCCGGCGTTGCGTCTCATCGTGGCCATGTCTGACTTGACTTACAAAGAGGAACCTCATCGATAACCATGGATTCCTCGACCAAGTAATATTTATCCCGCAGACGAATAACACGGAAAGTCTAGAATGGCTCGCGTCTACTGTGAAACGCACTCCTCTCTACCAAGTCTTGGGCTTCGGTGATTATATCCAGTGGGGTGGCATGGATGGGAATGTGATTTTTATCAAAATAGATGGCGATATCATCTTCTTGGAGGATCATACAGTCTCTACAATCGTTAAAACCAAGCTTGACCACCCTGATTCCCTAATAGTCTCAGCAAATGTTATTAACCAAGCAGCTCTTCAAGCCCTCCATAGCCATCCTGGTGTTGCCCTTCCCTATCTTCCCGAGCTTTCTTCCTCCGACCAGTCTCGGGCTCCTATCACCCAGGATTGGCGGGCCACAGATCTTCCAACCTGGAAAGGCCCTGCCGATTTCAAAATACTAAAGGGATATCCCCCTCCCTCTGAGAGCTATCGCTGGCTTCCGTTGGCGGATGAGGATGGGGATCGAACACCAATTGGCATGTCCATATATGGTGACAACGGGCCTGAACTGGATGACTGGACGGTCCATGCACAGCAGCACTATTCGTTCCTGCAACATCTCGAAGACGGCAATCTATATCGGTATAAATTCCCCGTGTGGGTCGATCCCACTGACAGTGTTAGCCCCAACTTTCTATGTCTACGAGCAGGCGACCCAAGCATTGTGAAGTCTATCATTCAACAGGACTCAGATAAGCTATCCTTAGAGGTCGCACAGAAACTTTTGGGCAGGGACCCAGGCGCTATAATCGACGGGAAAGGGCTAGCTGCGCATTACTCCATTGAGGCAAGTTTGGGGGGGCTGGAATCTACTGATCTCCTCCATCGGTATCGAGCGTACGCTGAGGAAATGGTTTGCTTAGATACTTTCTGACCCTACTTAATCCCATCTGCACTCAATGAAAATAGAGAAATGAACATCTCTGGGGATAATTCGACGTTCCATAAATATATAATACTTGACTCTACCCGGTTATTGAGCCTTTTTCCATACCTGTAAGCTTAGACCAATCTAGATATAATGTGTTCTGTATAATCCTGAGGCTGTGCTGGAGTATAAATTCAACGTTCTCTGGTGCTTTCCAGGTGCCGCAAGACCTGGCTGTTCATCAGGCCTTGTAGCGTACTTTTGGCCGATTCTGAAAGTTGAATAGGCTGCAAAGTGTTTTTAGTATTACCTCGAAGCGCCATTCTAAGAGTACCGTATAACTTACATCTTGTTTCAATATTTCCTGGATGAGCACGATTATGTTGTCACGATCTTTGATTAACTGCAACTTGTCCGCTTCGTCCATTGAGCCAAGGGATTCTGCGGTCAAGTTTTGCTCAAGAGTTGGGAACAGACCCATCTTCTCTATGCAGTCCACAGCAGCAGCAGAACCCGACTGGCTAGATGCCATCAACGCGAGGGCAAACCAGCCTTCGCTCCGAACAACGGGCCACTGTGATTGAGATATCATAGCACCTATTGGGAAGGCAATGCCTTCGTGAATGCTAAAGAGATGCTTGAGGGTGGCATCTGCTTTTTCATTCTGTTCACGTGATTTCGGGATGAGAGTACGACAGATGGATGCTATGATGCGTCCAATCTCAGTCCTAATAGGAGTGGAGTCCGTTTTGTTGAACAGTGAAAGCAACTGTGAGAGATAGGTACTGTGGTGTTCATCCTCGGGGGAAATATCTAGCAATTGTGATACATTTTCAAAGGAAGCAATGATCACCTGCCGTACGATGCTGGTGGCTGCGAATTGAACTTGTGGTAGCGTCTCGTATTCCCAGAGATGAGAGACCGCAGGGATGATACCAGCTTGTCCCAGATGCAATCTATTATCTCCAGCGATTGCCAAATTCTTTAAGAATCCTAGTGCAGCATGAAGCACGGGTCCTCTGGCGTCACTCTTAACGATTGATATCAAATCCCGGTGGATGCTCAGGTCTCGGACCATCGCTTGACATATTTCATCTGAACGCGCCAAGTTTCCTAACATGACACAGGAGCAGATCTGTAGTTGATCCTCCGTTCTCTGTAGCCAGCTTCTCAGTATCCCTGAAAGATCAGAGCCAAGGGGGTAGTATTCAGCGAATAATGATGCCCCAGATATCTCTGCTAGCGTTTGGTTGATCCTTAACTGAACCTGTGCCAGTACTTGAATATCATCAGTGGAGGACCGTTCTGCGTCGAAACTTAAGGATTTGCTGAGCATCGACAATACGTCAGCTACCATGTATCTTGTTATGCAAAGATTCTGAAACCGTTTATTATCGAGATACGCCATCGAGCAAGTCACAATGCAAGAGAACCGAGCAGCGGTATGGGCAATGCCCTTATGAACGGCAAGATCAATAAGAAGCGAGATGGTTTCATCAGGTGACAACTCTATCCCTTGTTCTGCATGGGCCTGTTAGAAGCAAGTAAAGGGAAGGGGGAAGGGCTATATCAAACCTTGCTCAGTAGTTAGTTCTATGAGCTCATAGACAAAATCGAGTAAAGTTTCGTGTTCCTTGAATGAATCCTCCCTTAGTAATTTCAGAAATATGTAAACTATTTTACTTGCAGCCAGTTGAGACTGGGCAGGCTCTATGAATGGTTAGTAACCAAGTACAGCTTGATTCAATATACCTCACCAAAATCAATGCAAATATTGTAGATAACAGGTATTACTATCTGTATGAGTTCTGGATTCAAAAGATGTTGGATGATAGCAGAAATGTAGTTTCCTTTCACAACGATTGTTCTATTTTCGTCTAAGAAAAAAGTGAGCGCTGTGATAGGACCTGGATCTATAACACTGAACGAATTGAACTTACCAGTGTCGGCACAGGAATTCCCAATCAATCGCAAAGCATGGAGGAGTAGACCAGTGTCGACATCCTCCTTGGAAGCAATAAGTTGGAGAAAAAAGGTTAAAACACCACTCTGTCCGTACGGAAGTCGCCACAATGCTGTGAACGTATTAACAATGAGACTAATCAGCATTGATATTGTATTTGCACTTACGGTTCCTACTTCCGTTTGCCAAAGCCTCTGCAGCTTGCACCATGAAGCTTGACCTGCATGTCCAGAGCCTACACAGAGTATCTTGGAGGCCCTCGAAAAGAGCATCGACTTGCTTGAAGGAAGGATTATCTTCTTCAGCCTTAGCTGTTAAACTGGGTTGGTATCTAGTCTCCGCCATCCCGAGAGTTTTTTCAAGGGTATCAAACAAGGCTCGTTGTTCTTCAAGAGGCAAAGGCTCGGATACCGCAGGGGCTAATCCTGGGGGCATTGGGGCCAAACTAGATATGATCTGGCTCAGAGATGGATATTCCATGCATTCGTTTCCTTGTATTTTTGTGATAGGTAGGCTACTTTGCTTCATGGAATTCCGCATGGCATTCGCTTCGTTTGCTGGGGCCATCTCTTGCACTTCAACCTTTGGGACAGGAGACATATAAAAGATCAAGTGACGAATCACAGTTGTTCTAGCGTGACTAGAACGAGTACTCCGTTGGGGATACCTATTGGTGTATGCTTCCAGAATAAACCCCCGAGGAGGGGAAGGAAAAAGAATATATGGGCCGGGTACGGTATGATGGATAAATAGTGAGGAACAGCAACTAGCGTATTAGGTTTGTTTTCTTGACCTGAATATCGGACGATCTCGTGTTTGTGAGATGTTCTTGGACTCCCAGAGTGAACAGGACGTGCGGTCGAAAAAATACAATCTTTTTTAAAGAGCCCTGTTTCAAGTGGTGAACAATAACTCGAGTTTAGCATCAGTTGGCCTAAGGCGGACTTGGACAACAAGTGTACTAAAAGCTGTGAAATTTTACTACCCATACTCTCTGCCACGTATTATATTATTTGTATGTACAGTACAATCAAGGCTGTATCGAATAATGCGCTCCATTGCCCCGGTACACAATAATGTGCGTGGTGATATAGTTAAAATCCACATATTTTCCTTCTAATTTTCCTTTCACTTATCTGAACTTTGTTACGCGACCCATGCTCACGACTTCACTTACTATAATATGCCGACGGTGGATGTTGGTATCAGAAACAGGGAATCCACTCTCGATCAATTACTAGTACACTAGTAAGGTGAACTCGGCTGCCAAGGGCGCATAGGGAACCACTAGCACGAATGTCTGTCGTAAACGTAATACTACCTAGCAACATACCTGTCATTCCTTATTCCCCAGGTCCCTTACCTTGCTCTTTGACGCACCCTGATATATTAGATAGCTTTGTCTATCATCACTGCATCAGTGCCATTGTAATTGCGACATTTCTTCCTTAGATATTCAGTTACAGCCCTTTTTCGCGATGACACGCGCTCAACAGACCCTCTCCGTTCTCCTACTTGTCTCTTCGGTATGCCAGAAACCGCACCCTTCTACTCATGCTATTACTAACGTGACTTTTCTTTTCCTTCCCTATACAGCTCTATCTTGTCCTCTACTTGGATCTTGTCCCCCTCAATGAAACCGTTCAAAAAGAGATCATTCCTGTCGTGCGTCTGCTCTGTTCGAAACATCACTGGCTGATATTTCTGCACGCCACTAACACCAGCACAATCTCCCCAGCTTCCCTTCTACGCCTTAATATCGTTCGGATGTTACCTACTTGGTCGCCTAGGTGTAGCAATCTTAACATTCAATGATGTACCCGAGGCGCATGAGGAGCTGCAAAAGGAGATCGAGCAGGCTAAGGCGGAGTTGCGCAGGCAGAACGTTGATGTCGACTAAAGCGCCTTGGTCGATCGGTTCGGTTGTGAGATACTAGCCTCCTCCTACTCCATGTATCATTAGGGCGGTCTTTATTCGGGACTCGGATGCCTGTCGCTTGTGCAGCAGCCGGGAGGGCATTTAATACAAATATAGGCGAGATATTATTGTGGCGGCTTTACCACGAATCCCAGAGCGAGCCAAATCTGACTCTGCACATGCTATTATTGTTACGTTATTGAATATAGGACAAATGTCATGAAGGCTGAAGGTTTGGGCAGTAGATCTATAGGCAAGGAAAGGTGAAATACTGGGAGATAGCAGAAGTTACAAATTGGGAAACAGCTCTTTCAAACCCCATTACCCATCAAAGACGGCGTCCATTTTTTGCCTTTTAAATACGCTGTACCTTTTAAATGCATCGTATTGTTTTAAACTTTCCTTTCTTTTTTATTTCTATCAATTGTCGTCAAGGCACCGTTTATATCGTGACATGCCCAGTCATCTTCTGGTCATGATAATAAGGACTATATGCAAGCAAATGAAGCCAAGAATGCATAGGCACAGAGAAAATGTTCAAAGGGAATTAAACGAGGCCTTAAAAGAGAGGGTTCTTCTCGGCAAACGCATCGTGTTCATCAATGTCCCTATTAGAAATCTGTCAGTTACCGCGAGCCTAGTACTGGTATAGCAGATCACATACTTTGCTTCCCATGGGTAGCAAATCCAAACATCGTCAGTGGTGACGGCAGCATGATAGCGACCAGAATCCATCATATCCGCAGGAAGTACTCCCTTCTTGGACTTGTTCTTGTTCTATTGCAGGGTTAGTATCGAGGCCAACCGAAAAGTAGAATGACTATAAACAAGCCCAAGGATGACATACATGAAGCACAAAGACAAAAAAATTCGTCTTTTCACCCTCCCGTCCAAGCTGCTTCTGTGCCTGTTCAACATCCTTCTGAAGCTCGCGAACCGCATATTCCAAAGTGGTCCGGGTGTCGTCAACCTCATCCACAATGAGTATGTTCTTGCCAATAAGATTTGCCATCTCCAAGGAACTGAGATCCAGCCATTGTGTCCGAGTCACCTTGGTCCCAGGAACTTCCTCGGCGTCACCACGACCCAGGTCCTCGTAGAGCGACAGGCCGATGGCTTGAATGGGGATGTTGGGTTCACCAGAGCGCTTGAGAAAGGACCTGTTGAATGTCAGGTCAGGCAGCCGCCTCTAGAAGGCAGTACATTTAACTGGCATACCGTAGAATACGAGCAGGGACATATCCGCCGCCGCCGATAGCAATCATAAGATTTGGATGAAAGGTGGTCAGAATCTTATCAGCTGAAGACTGGCACAGCTTGTGCACCTGGTAGAATAACGTATTAGCGGGTCAGGTTATGAAGGAGCGACGGGGTATCGCCATAGCGAAAATGGCCGCTCGCCTTCCAGCAGCCATCGACACTAGAAAGATATTCAACACACTCATAGTCTGTACCATGTGTAGGCATAGGACGAAGATAGAGTTATTGTGGGACATCGAGGCAGACACACAACCGACTAGTCAATCTGGAAGGAAAAGACCATACCTGGTTATAGGTGACATAAACTTTTTGCGACATTTTGGCAGTGATGGCTTGTACCAATTGTATAGGCGAGTGCAGTATATCAATCAGAGATATTTGACAGACAATCGAACGGACCGGGAATTTTATCGTGGATGTTAAAGAAATGTAGTGCTTTAAAAGATTTCTGGCACACGAGGGGTAAACGGAGGGGGAAAAAAAAATTTAATCTGCGTCACAGTTTAACGCTCTTCCGCATCCACACCCGGCGATAGGAGTATGGAACCTTGAAAAGGGTCCATCGTCACGTTCATCGATGTATCAGCCTTACCATATAAGGCTAGCTATACTGGATAATAGCCTATTAGAAAATGACCATCTCGGCTAGTTTATTCCTCTTATGGACTAGCGCGTTTAAATCTCAATACCTACAGTAGTCCCACGGTAGTACATCCTAGTGATCATAGGGGGTACAGGTACGCCCTATGTTCTTTGTACGGCATGTACCAGGATGTATTACACGTACAAGGTTAGATATGCTTCCTTAAAGTATGAAAAGCTTGTTCTTTTACATTGGCATGAAGGAACAATTCGCCCTGAGGTGATCTCGTACCTGATTCATAAACCGATGCCATGCTCATCTTCGTGGGTAAAAGCACACAACCTCAAGCAGGGCTATGATCGCCTGGAGATTCTGGCTTGATCTCATTGATCTCAAATCCACCCTCATTTTTGTCCTCTCCTTTCTGTGGCCAGAGAATTTGGTGTAACAAAATGGCACGGATCATCATATAACAAACGAATATGTACATTAGTATGAGGGGCACGACCATAACACATCCTATAATCAGAATTGGCTTGCAGGAGAATGCGTGGCCGATGGCGAATGTCGCTGTGATCAACGCCGTATTCGGAAAAACAAATGAGAACCATCCCATCGTAAAGATCATCCGACCAGGCCCTATAGCTGACCAATGAGCAAAACTCGCGATGAAAAAGAAAAATATAGCCAAGCTATGTATGGATCAGTCAACAGTTACATGACAATAACCAGGTTGGTGGAAAGGCCTTACCCCCATAGCCACAAGGCAGCAAAGTTGACAACTACCCTTATAACCTCTGCGGCCAAAGGCCCATTGCCCATGAAATCGTCAGGAAAACACCTTTTAGCATTAGTAGCCATATTCACGAGGCCAGCAACTGTGAAAGCGCTAGGGCCGATAGAAACAAACATGCCGGGTCGAACGTTCTCCCTTGGGAGTTTTTGCGACATCAGTCTATATATGAAGGCGGAATATACCATCAGGGACACTAGAAAACCAACCCCTTGAATAGTTACGCCACCAATTATAATCGGTAATGAGCGGGAAGGTTCAAGCTTTGAACTCAAGATACCAGCATGGGGACCGATTATCAGCAAAGGGTATGCGGGAAATATCCAAATCGGAGTCATTTGGGCGATGGTGAAAGTCTGCGTTGACCACCTAACTTGCCATCAGGATCTAGAGCATAATATTGTTTGGCCAAAGTAAACGACCTACAGCAGGAGATATATGCCAGCCGAAAATATGATGGCCAGACAGGCATCAATCCAGAACAATATCCCGACAACGTGTGCAAGCCAAGGCCCCGTATTGTCTGGCCCATATTGCGAGATATTTATCAGAATTGTTCCGAACGAAACCACCGAGGCTGGGACAAAAAGGGACTCTGTTGGATGCAAGAATGATGCTTTGAATGTATAAGGATAATGGTAAAACCGCATGACCAACAGGATCCAGATGATGATATATAATATGATATTGGCTAGGAAGAAAATGACACCGATTATCTGTAGACCTCGGAATCTATAGGGTACTAATCTGTGGTAAGCAAGTTTGCAGTCCTAGACCCAAGGCATGACCGAACTTACTCTCATACAGAACATTGGCAATCCCGCCAGTTGCCATTGTCAATGTGAAAAATGCCCAGGTAAAGTGACGTATCCGTTTTTTCCAACTGAGATTTACGGCTGAATAGTCGGGCTCGTTGTAAGGATGCACGCCATTTACATCCGCGAGACCATCTCCTTCAGGCTTGCGGCACGAGTTACTATGCAAAGCTTCCAGCGCTGAGGAATGAGCCTGGCGTGCCCAGGCCCCAGCAGACGGATATAATGAGTTATCATTTCGTTGCACTGTAATATAATCCTCGGCATCCTCAATCGTGGGGGTACGGTAGCCATCGTCGCCGGGCTTCGACATGTGTCTATGATGTAGAAGTTCGATATCCATCGTCATCACCAAGCCCCACTACGCCTAAGCGACTATTTGTAGCAAAAGGGTTCAACACTCTTTCTCCTTTCCTCCTCACATTACCAGTACTCAGTTTAGGTAGCGAGTCTCGTCGCAATTCCCTCTAAGGTGAGGTTACCGCAATCTACCCTGTGACGTTGCCCCCGGGAGGTGGGGGGTAAAAAAGCACTTGGGAACACGGGACAAAATATCTCAAGCGAAGATATGGAGAATCTCGCGCAGGTACAATGAGACATACAAGGCAAATGAACGATAAAGTATAGGGTCCCGTTCAACAACGGCAAGTTTTGTACAGTTAGTTCGACGGCAATAACTGCTCGCTCATGCCTTCCGGGATGTGTGGGAAAAAAAATAATTGAAAGTGTAACGAGTAAATTCTGATGACTTGGGCTTTATATACACTCCCGTCGATCGCAACAAGGAATAGGTTAGCTGAAATCAGGTAATACACAGTAGAGAGAAGTTGAGAATTGCAGATCCATTCGGCTTCTCGGATATTGCCACCATTTCCTTGGTGGGGAAGGAGTTGTTCATGGCCAATCACCAGGCAACTTAAGGATGAAGTTGCAGTCTGGCGCTAAAATACATCTGGGTACCTAAGTACTACTGCGTAGTACTCCAGAGTAGTTGTTAGGGCCACTACGTACTGGTGCGCCCGCCGCCCAGCGCTCTCTTCTAGCTTGAAAATATAGAATACTCACTTTCAACTTGTGTTTGTGTCTAACCTTGTGGTAAATGCCGGAGAGTTCAATGTACGCAAACTCCATAAAAAATACAAATGGGAGATGATTCAATGAATAGGACGTGTAGGGTAGGCCTATAAGTGTAAATTATAATACTGGAAGCTATTCTGTATATAGTTAGTTAACCTAGCTTCAAGTTGCACTTCCATGTTGAGGTATCTTTCAAAACAAACATAGAGTACAGAGTATATTTCTAGTTACAATGTACGGAGCACGGAGTGCTACTACTAGTATTCAACTCCTCACTTATATTACACATACTCCGTATCTGATTGAGGAATAATATCTAATGCTGCCTCCATCTTTCTTGATATATTATTAATTTATCTTTATCTTTTATTTATATCTTCGCTCTTTACTTTTTACTTTTTTACGTATTTTTATTTATTTATTTATCTTGAACAGGTCCCATCCAGAGTGATCATTATGTTGACACAAGAATCTGGCAAGTAA